CCAAAGTTTAATAATTAATGTAATTCTTTGTGTGCTTATCTGGGGCTGAACTGTTGGTTGGTGGGACCTGGCAGGAGAGGAAAAGTCAATCAGCATTCATGTAGCCATTATTTAATATTCATGCCAAATTAGCAGGCCAGCTCTGTTGCCCTGTCCACTCTTCCCCTGTCTGCCCTTTCCTTTTCCATTTGTTTCCATCAGAGAACACAGTCTGGCCAGGACTGCAGGATCTCTAGCTCAGTTCCCTAAAAGCTGGGTTATATAATGTCACAATTACCTTACCTCCCAGCCCTTTGTCTCTACCATTCCATCTTCTACATACATCTTCCTATTATTCTCCTGATACTAACTGTTGTGTAATACTTTGTTTGTGTTCTGACTTATACTGTAGGCCTACCCATTGATAGTGTTGGGACAATTCCACTTAAAAGGGGCTAATGGGAGGGGGGCAGAGCATGGCCCCTCACTCACTACCAGTCTAGCAGAAAAAAACCAATACAGTAGCCCTTTATCAATCTAGTCTCTCTTGAGCAGTGCAAATGTCTCTTCTGACAGAATAAGTCTCATTTCAAAGGAACAAGTGAAAACATATTTAAAAAAAATTAAAACACAAGTAACATAAAACCCGAAGCAACAAAACAACTCCAAAATTACTAACCCACAGTGATGACCTCCAGTGTGAGCACATCAAATCTCAGACAAACAAACCACCCTACCTCAAAAGAATAGGCATAAATAAGTTCAAAACAGTCAAAGAAGACACAACAGCTGAATGAAAGATGCCAGTCTCAACACATGATATGAGCGAGAAATTCAGTAAAGGGATGAAAGGACATGGATGCTGAAACAAGCAAAAAACCAAACTAAAATACAAGGAAACTAAAATAATTCTTCCCAATGGGAGGGGCCAGGGAAGGGACTGAATATCAAGCTTGGAGACAGATGAAAGAATTTATTCAAACAAGGAAGAAAGAATGATGGCTAATTCCAAGATGCATGGGGCACAATGAAAACACCAACTCTAAGATTCTTGGACATAAGGAAAAATTTCATTCTGAAGGCACAGTAAACGTTAAGAAAATCATAGCAGAAACTTTTCCTAGACTTATGGAGATTCTGGTCCATATTCAGGAAGCATTTAGAATGCAAACAGCTGAGATCAGAAAAGAACCTCACTATGTCATATTATATTTAAAATACATTAATTCAGAACAAAGTAAGTAGAAAAAAGCACCAAGTCACATTTAAGAGCAAATTTCTCAATAGGAACTAAAAACTCCAGGAGGGTCTGGATAATAAACACTTTCAACAAAGAAACAAGATAAAAAAGTAACATAGAAAATTAAATAGACTTCCTATACATCATAATAAACACAATGATGAAGAAATCAGGCAAACAATCCAATTTATAGTCTCTCTCTCCTCTCTCTCCTCTCTTTCTCTCTCTCCTCTTTGGAATAACCTTAGCCAAGGGAATGAAAGACCCCTGTAATGAAAATGTTAAGCCACTTGAGAGAAACTGAAGAACACCCAACAGATGCAAAGATCTCTCATGTTAATAGATTGGAAGAATTAATATTGTAAAAATGGCTATCTTATAAAAAGCAAACAAATCAAAGTTCTAACACCATTCTTCACAGAAATAGAAAAAAGTCTGAAAATTCATTTGGAAGTACAAAAGTCCTTAGATATAGTCAAAACAACCCTGAGTTAAATACACACACACACACACACACACACACACACACACACACATTCAAGTTATGTTACAAAATCAGTCTGGGAGCTGGGAATAGAGCTTCATTGGTAGAGTTCTTTGCAGGCAAGCATAAGGTCCTGAGTTCAGACCAGAACCATGAAGAAAGCCAGGTTTGGTGGTACATGCTTGCAATTCCAGCTCTGGAGAGGTGGAGACAAGCTGAGCTATGAAGACTGCTGGATGGCCAGCATAGCCTAATCAATTACCCATACTGAGAGATACCATCCCAACAAAACAAGGTGGTGGCTTGCAAGGAATGACATTTGAGACTGACCACAGCCTCCACAAACACATCCACATACCCACACACATGTGCAAGCCACCCATGTGCATACAAACAAAAGACCAAACATCATGGTAAGATGGCACTGAGACATGGAATAGAAATGATGACCCAGATAAGGCTCACATAACCATGTGATTTTTGATAGATGCCAGAAATATTCACTGGAAAAAAACCATCTCATCAAAAAATGGTGTTAAGACAACTGGATATCTATATATAAAAGAATGAAACTGGATCCATGCACAAAACAACTATAAATGTATGAAGCTGGAAAAAGGTGACCAAGACACAAAAAGGAAACTATGTTGTCTTTCACATGTGAATCTGAAGCTTTGAATATTTAGCTGTGTGTGTTTAGCATGAGGTACTGGTGGAAGCTAGGAAATGAGAATGAGGCAATGGACAGAGGGTGGAATCTGCTAAGGGAGGGGTAATGTAGTACAATGAAAGTAGAGGAGAGCAGGGAGGAGAGAGAAGGGAAGGGCTCATCCTCATATCTGGTATAAGAAAAGACATATGTAAGTCTAATGTTTTTCAAGACAGGGTTTCTCTGTGTAGCTTTGGAGGCTGTCCTAGAACTTGCTCAATAGACCTCGCTGGCCTTGAACTCACAGAGATCTGCCTGCCTCTGCCTCCAAAGGGCTGGAATTAAAGGCGTGCACCACCACCACCCAGTAACATGTAACACAACTAAGTAATTTGTATGGAGAGAGGAGGCCTGACAGAGGTGGGGAATTAAAAAAGAACTATCACATGAGACAGATATACCTGGGTGTATATGCAGAATATGTCATGCTGTATCACACAGATACATTTTTGTTTATTGCTGCTCTGTTCACAATAGCAAGGAAAGCAAGCATAAATGGCCATCAGGTGATGAACTAATAATGAAACACTTTATGTGAAAGTGAGTGTACATAGAACCAGGAAATTAGAAAGGGGCCAACAAGAATAGGGAAGAGGCTTTAAGAGAACAGGGAGTTGATTACTTCCAGATGACAGTAGAAGGGTAAACACTGGACATAGAATGCTTCAGCAGGGATGGGGGAAAGAAACATGGAGGATGGAAAGCATATCAGACAAGCTAGAAGAAAAGCTACTGTTTTGTAGGCTAATTAAAGAATAAAAGTTTGGAAAGAAGTACCATGTGCAAGGAGATAAGCCTACTCCCAGGAAGCATAAAGTCATTAACTAAAAACCTTGGCATCAGGGATTGGCTCCCAAGTCCCCAAAACAATAAAGGCTATGGAGGTTGATGGTGGCCAACAGCAGAAGACTGTAAGACTCTTGCTGAAGACGCCATATGTTTTGGTCTTAAGATACGGTGAAATAAATCTGAAACCAAGCAGGAGGGTCCCTCTCACAGTGCCCTTAAAGTGCCAGAAGGGACCGTATAGGCTGGCATGAGAAAGCTGTCACCGATCCTACTTGGTTGTGGACCAACTACCCTGAGTGCTAATCTAATGGCCTGCTAGGTAAGCTGTGTCTACAGGTGCAAAGGTGGCATATGTTTGTGCAGGTAACCAGTGGCTGTTTGATGAGATTTCAGGGTTCTTCACATGAAGTCTATACACCTTGCCAATGACTGACTGTAGTGAGGGAGATCCTAATGTTGTTTTGATAACTGACAGGACATGCCTGTTGAATTGCTTTCTAAATACTGATATTTATGCTCACAGAGTAGTCCTGCTGTCAACTTTGGTCGGTCAGAGAAGCTTCGCTTTGCAGTGGGCTGAGGTTACCGCAGAGACTCAAAGTGGATGTCCACGTGCTGAAAGTGCAGTTGTGACATTCTCAGCCATAGGTGGGACATCTCTAGCACTTCCTTCCAGGCTCAGGGAGCATCATGCAAGCGCGCAGTGGGATAAATGTAGAGTGGGAGGAAAGGGTACCGTGTTGTGGAGTACTGGTTCCTGGATGCTGCTCCACGTGAACTCCAGCTATGGTTACCTGCACAAGACTTCTGTAAGACTGAGTCTGGAAGCATTCTGTCATAGAAGAGGGAATCATGAGGAGGTCATGCCCCTTCTTGAGGACTTACATATTTATTACATGAGTTAAAAATAAAATGTTTTTAGATTTTTAAGTTTACACATATGTGTATGTGCCTGCATGAGTGTGTGTGCATTGCATGCATGCAGGTACTGGAGGAAACCAGACACAGGCAATTAAACAATTGCTGGGAAGGGAGAGAAGAGACACTTTCTTCTGTGCTTTAGCCACTTTGATAAGTTACCCACACTCCTATAAATAACCTCTTACCCATATTCTTGTAAGTAAACCTAATTAAATTCATTTGTTCATGCACACACAAAAAACTCTTCCAAATTAAATTCAATAAACACATTAAGATTATACATCATGATTAAGTTGTTTTCATCCCAAGAATGCAAGGCTGATTCAATATATGCTAACCAAGAAATGTAATACATATTACATAAAACACCAATGCAAATTACATAATCATCCCTGTATGTTCAGGATAGACAGCTGACAGTTCAATATGCCTGTATGAAGGTCCTGAAGAAACTAGGTATAGAGGAAACACATCTCATATAATGAAGTCTGTATAATGTTAAATCTATAAACAAAATGATACTCATTAAAAAATACTTTAGGCCATTTACTCTACAATCTAGAATGTGACAAGGGTTCTCCCTCTCTCTCCTCTTATTCAATATTAAGACTGGAGTCTTCAACATAGCAACAAGACAACAGAAATAAATTAAAGCGATATAAGTAAGAAAGCATGACAAATTATCCCTGCTTGCAGAAGACATGTTACAAAATGATCCAATGGAGTCCACTAGGAGACTCTTGGATGTGATAAAAATCTTTTCAGCAAAGTGGCAGGATACAAAGTCAACATACAGAAATCGGTTGCATGGTTGCATTTTAAGTGTTGAATGTCAACTATTTCCTTATATAGTAAACTCTCAATTTAATATAGTTTACCTGTTAGAAGGGCCATTTGGTACTTTCTGTTGAATAGCATGCCTGTGCTTGGAGCCAACGGAAGGAAGAAGATCTGGAAATGTGTCTTCTTCTTCAGGTGTTAAAGCTGGGCCAGCAAAAGCTTCATTTAGCATGTCTCTTCTGTCCAAGGGGCCCAGGAGTTCTGTTTTATAAACAATGAATAAGATGTGAGAAAAATGCAAATACAGTCTCTGCTGACTAGTTTGTGACTAAGAATCGTGTGCCCAGTGCAGCTCTGTCCTTTGTTATCTGCTATGTGGAATGTTGCAGGTGGGCTGGGGGGTTCAGGGGGTGGGGCTGACAGTTCCTGTCTCTTATGAGTACTGTCATTCTACTTATTTCAGCTAGGGCCACCAACATGATTCTTCTCGAGATCAAATTTAAAAATTCTTTTATATTTTGCCTCTTCATAGTGCTTTTGTTAACATAATTAATCATCTAACCTTTTCTTAATGTTCCTCAATTGTCATGCTGTTTTATTATTTTGGACAACTATAAGGAGTTTGTCAAATATACAGTACATATCTTTAAAAGAAAAGTCATTTTTAGATATTTTATATGTGTATATGTGCTTACATGATTTTATGTGCACCACATGCATGCAGGTGTCAGAGAAGGCAAGACAGTGTCAGATTCCCTAGACCTGGATTTACAGGCAGTTGTCAGGCCCAAGTGCTCTGCGAGAACAAGGACATACTCTTAACTGCTGAACCATCTCCCCAGGCCTCTAGGACATTTAAATTTTTTTCTCTAGATAAGTATTATTTTAAAATTTTAAGGTAATTAAAACCCATGTGCATGTGCACATATGTGTGTGTGAACAAGTGTGGCATGCATGTGAAGGGAGGTCAACATCTGGGAATGGACTCTCTCCTTCTAACAGGCCCCAAGGATCAAACTCAGGTCCTCAGGCTCAGTGGTAAGCATTTTGCTCTCCAAGCTATTTTGAGAGCCTCTGTTTTTGTATTTTTGTTTATTTATTTTTGGTGGTGAGGGGAATCAAAACCAGGACCTCACACATGCTACCAAAGTGCTCTACTACTCCTCAGCCTCCAGTTTGAATTTTAAAAGTCTCAGGAAGACACATGTCTCCATGTCACAGGCATGTAAAGAGGTACAGACAAATCTCTGCGCCTCCCAGGACATTGTTTAGCAAGCTGAAATATAATGAGGGTATGAGAAGTGGGTTAGTAATGAGAAACACAAGCCTTGTGAGAAAATAGAGCCAGTGTCACAGTGTCACTCTGTCACAGCGTCATAGTGTCACTCTGTCACAGTGTCACAGTGTCTGTCACAGTGTCACAGTGTCACAGTGTCTGTCACAGTGTCACAGTGTCTGTCACAGTGTCTGTCACAGTGTCACAGTGTCACAGCGTCACAGTGTCTGTCAGTGTCACAGTGTCTGTCACAGTGTCACAGCGTCACAGTGTCTGTCACAGCGTCACAGTGTCCGTCACAGTGTGTCACAGTGTCACAGTGTCTGTCACAGTGTCACAGTGTCTGTCACAGTGTCACAGTGTCCGTCACAGTGTGTCACAGTGTCACAGTGTCTGTCACAGCGTCACAGTGTCCGTCACAGTGTGTCACAGTGTCACAGTGTCTGTCACAGTGTCTGTCACAGCATCACAGTGTCACAGCATCACAGTGTCTGTCACAGTGTCACAGCGTCACTCTGTCACAGTGTCACAGTGTCTGTCACAGTGTCACAGTGTCACAGTGTCTGTCACAGTGTCACAGTGTCTGTCAGTGTCACAGTGTCTGTCACAGTGTCACAGTGTCAGTGTCTGTCACAGTGTCACAGTGTCTGTCATAGTGTCACAGTGTCTGTCAGTGTCACAGTGTCTGTCACAGTGTCACAGCGTCACAGTGTCTGTCACAGCGTCACAGTGTCTGTCACAGTGTCTGTCACAGTGTCTGTCACAGTGTCACAGTGTCTGTCACAGTGTCACAGTGTCTGTCAGTGTCACAGTGTCTGCCACAGCGTCACAGTGTCTGTCACAGTGTCACAGTGTCTGTCACAGCGTCACAGTGTCACAGCATCACAGTGTCTGTCACAGCGTCACAGTGTCTGTCACAGTGTCTGTCACAGTGTCACAGTGTCTGTCACAGTGTCACAGTGTCTGTCACAGTGTCTGTCACAGTGTCACAGTGTCTGTCACAGTGTCACAGCATCACAGTGTCTGTCACAGTGTCACAGCGTCACAGTGTCTGTCACAGTGTCTGTCACAGTGTCACAGTGTCTGTCACAGCGTCACAGTGTCACAGTGTCACAGCATCACAGTGTCTGTCACAGTGTCACAGCGTCACAGTGTCTGTCACAGTGTCACAGCGTCACAGTGTCTGTCACAGTGTCACAGTGTATGTCAGTGTCACAGTGTCTGTCACAGCGTCACAGTGTCACAGTGTCACAGCGTCACAGTGTCTGTCACAGTGTCACAGTGTCTGTCACAGCATCACAGCGTCATCACAGTGTCATAGTGTCTGTCACAGTGTCTGTCACAGCATCACAGTGTCACAGTGAGGCCAATCTCCTTGTTTTCCTCTAGCAGTTTTGTAGTTCTTGGGCTTACATTTAATCTTTCATTATTCTGAGTTACTTTTTGTACAAGATATAAGGTAATGGCATAGTTCACGGTTTTGCAAATGAATATGGTTTTCTGGGTACAACTAACAACTTATTGAAAAGACACTGCCTTTTCCATTAGTAGTCCCAACATTCTTGTTGAAAACAGTTTGACCATGTATCCAAAAGTTTATGTTTGGGGTTTCCTTTCCATTTGGGGTTCATCAGTCTATATTAAGTATCACAGTTTTGATTACTCTACGGTTGAGAGCCAGAAGTGTAACACTGTCCTTCAGGTTTCCTTCACTATTCAGCATCTTTTGAACTTTCGTACGAACTTTTAATGGAGGGCAGTCAAGACGGCACAGTAGGTGAAGGTGCTCAGTTCTGAGACTGAAGGCCTGTGTCTGATCCCCCAAGCCCACAGGATGGAGGCAGAAAACTGACTCCTGGAGGCTGTCCTGACTTCCACATGCACACTATGCCTCATGCACACAGATGTAAAAGGATAAATATGAACAAAAATTAAGATCCATCTTTGTAGTTTAAAAAAAAAATCATCACTGCACTTGGATAGGACTGGCACTGACTAGCCAATCGCCTTTGTGGTATTGCTATTTGTCAACGTTTGTCTTCTAGTTCATGAATATGAGATGTCTTTCAGTATCTATCTGGTTTTTTTTCTTTGAGAAATGAGTCTATACCTGTTGTTTAGGCTGGATTTGAACCACTGGAGTCAAGGGGCTTCCCATTCCAGTCTCCAGCTTTTGGGACTACAGGCGTGTGCTACCACACCTGCTCTGCTCTCCACTCCCTTTCAGCGACGTTCCACCCCACCAAGGTACATGTCTTTCGCCTCCCTGGTAAGGCCCTTTTCTTCTTTTAGCAACTAGTGTGGATATAACCGCGTTCATCATCATTTCTAAGGTCACTCCCTTGGAGCATGATGACATGTTGATTTGTCTCCTGTCACTTTATTGGACTTGCTTATCTATTTTTTCAGTAGAATTTAAAATTTTAGAGTTTTTATTTTTATATAATAAGAACATGTAATTAGCAAACTGGTCATTTATTTGTTTCTTTAAGATTTTGATTGTTTTTGTTTTTTCTTTTAAATCTCTTTGGCATACTTAACCTGGCTAAGGAATTCTAGCACCTTATTAAATATAAATGTAAAGAACAGAAATCTTGGTTTATTTTCTTTGTCCTTCAGAAACAGCTTTCAGCCCTTCAAAACTGCATGTATTTATGTGGGCTCTGCGGCCAGAAGCCAGGTTGACAGGCTTGGTGACACAGCTTTTATTTGCTGGCCACCTTGTGAGCTCAGACTGTCAGTTTTCACCAATAAGTCTGTTATAAGCTGCAAGTGTGTCATATGTAGCCATTCTTGTGTTAAGGTAATTTCCCCTTTCTCTGCTTTGCTGAGTGTTGTCTATCATGCAAAGGGTTGAATTTGCCACATGCCAAACTAGTATTGAGAAGATCCTTAAGCTTTCGTCCCTCGTTCTGTTAATGTGACAGAACACCGTGACTTTCATTTGTTGAACCATTCTAGCTTTACAGACATTAAGTCCTGCTTGGTCACTGTGTCTAAATCTTGCTTTGTATAGCTGAATTTGTTTTGCTGGCATTTTGTCAAGGACTTTTCCATCAGTACTAATCAGATACATTGGTCAACAGTTTTCCTTGCTTTTGTATGACGTTAGCATTAGAATAATACTACCTTTTTAAAAAATGGTTCTGGTAAGGTCCCTCCTCATTTTTTTGGGAAGAGCTTGAAGAAGATGTTAGGAATGTCTCTTTAATTGTTTGGTAGAATTCTCCAGGGACGCCAGCAAGTCCTGGGCTTTTCTTTGTTGGGAGGTTTGGTTACTAATCCAGTTCTCTTACTACTTGTATGCCTGTCCTATTTATGATCTAGTTTTGGTAGGTCGGCATGAACTCACGTAATGCTGGATAAACTCCCTCATCTGATGATGTACTGGGTGTGACTCCCCAGAGGCATTTCTGATCCTCGCAGAGCTGCTCTTTGTTGTGGTCTGTCAAGTTTGTTGTTGAGTTTTTGAAAGCTGCATCTTAAGTGTCATTAATTTTTTTCTTTTGTTAGTTCCTATTTATTATTTTCTGTTTTAATCTTAGTTCCTTCTGCTTCCTTTGGTTTTCTCAAGAAGTTTTAGAATTTTCTTTGTGATTCCCTTTTTGTCTCATTGTATGTGTACTGCTTTATTTTTAAATATGGATTTTCCAGTTTTACTTCTGTTGCTAAGTTTTTGTTTAATTCTACTATGGCCAGAAGATGCTTTATATGATACATATTTTATTAAAACCTTACTTAAGGATTAGAGGTTATCTCAGTGGAGGAGCACTTGCCTACTATGCCCGAAACCCTGGTTTTGATACTCAGCACAACAAAGTTAAAAAAAAAAAAAAGACTTATTTTATGGCCTTAATTTGACTAGTCTTGGAGAATGTTCCAGGGCATTTGATAAGAATGTATATTCTAGTTGTATGAATAGTCTGTATATATCTGTTAAGCCTACATTTTTTGGCATTACTGAATTCTTTATCCCCTATTAAAA